CCTCCAGCACAGAGTGCTGTCCTCTGAAGATGCCGGCCACAGAGACTGGCGAAACGTTAGGAAGAATAACCTTCAGAACACGGCCAAAGAACCCGAAAAACCCACAACAACTGTTAGCATATTGTTGGTATTTTGACAGAGCCAGTCTCTGTACCTTGAAGTAGCTTTATTGATATCCCATCTACTCCTGTTTTATTTTTCCCAGTTGTCTTGAGAGCAGCTCTCATTTCATTTTCTGAAACTGCATTCTACTCATTTTTTAAAAAATCAAAATTTTCATCAAAAATCTTTCCTGAAGCTCCCAAAGGTTGCCCCAGGCCATATGGGAAATCTTGGAACCTGAAGGTGTGGTTGGGGATAGGAAGCTTTCAATGAATTTATATTAAATTTTACCAACACCTGATGATGACATCATTCAACTTCCATGCAGTAAATTTATGTCAATAGTATTTTGACCGATGGGATCATGTTATTTAATATTTAACACAAGTTCCACTGATTCGGTGAATGTACTCTTCTTAGGAGTAACAATTGTATTAAGCCATTGATGAAATCAAAAAAGCCAGAATGTGGCTCAGTAGACTTTCCAAGACGTTGTTCTCAATGCTTACTGGAACAGAATGAATCATGCAAATATTACATATGTATGTTTGCATTTGACTGTGTGGACCACAGCAAACTATGGCAAGTTCTTAAAGAAATGGGAGTGCCTGACCACCTTATCTACCTCCTGAGAAATTTGTATGTGGGACAGGAAGCAACAGTTAGAACTGGATATGGAACAACTGATTGGTTCAAAATTTGGGAAAAGAGTATGACAAGGCTGTATATTGTCTCCCTGCTTATTTAAATTATTTGCAGAATACATCATGTGAAAGGCTGGACTGGAGGAATCCCAAGCCAGAATTAAGATTGCCGGAAGAAATATCAACAACCTCCAATGTGCAGATGATACCGCTCTGATGGCAGAAATTGAGTAGGAATTCAAGAACCTCTTAATGAGGGTGAAAGAGAAGAGCGCCAAAAATGGTCTAAAGCTCAACATTTAAAAAAAATCTAAGATCATGGCCACTGGCCCCATCAGCTCCTGGCAAATAGAAGGGGAAGATAGGGACGCAGTGACAGATTTTACTTTCTTGGGCTCCATGATCACTGCAGATGGTGACAGCAGCCCCGAAATTAAAAGACACCTGCTTCTTGGGAGGAAAGCGATGACAAACCTCAACAGCATCTTAAAAAGCAGAGACATTACCTTGCCAACAAAAGTACGCATAGTCAAAGCTATGGTTTTGCCAGTAACAATGTAAAATAATGGAGCTGTCAGATTTTGACAGCTGTCAAAAGTTGGGGGGAAAAATTCACCATAAATTAACGAAAAGTCAGATCAAAGCCAAATTAACTTTTGCATCCGTTTTAGAGGGTGCAGAAGCTAATCCAAGCATTTAAAACCATTTTTGACCCTTTTATGACACACTTAAATTTGCAAAAATTGACTTCGCAAAGCCATTGAAATGTATTGAGTCGGCTTCAATACATTCCAATGGAGGAAACATTGTATCGTTTAACAATGTTTCCTATGGGTTTTTTCGCTTAAGGACGGCAATCCGTGCCTATTGGAACGGATTAACCGGTTTCCAATGCATTCCTATGTAAAATGGTGTTTCGCATAAAGTTTTTTTCGCATAAGGTTTTTTTTTTGGAACCAATTAAAAACGTTATGCGAGGCACCACTGTATGGAAATGAGAGCTGGACCACAAAGAAGGTTGACTGCCGAAGAATTGATGCTTTTATATTGTGGTGCTGGAGGAGACTCTTGAAAGTCCCCTGGACTGCAAAGAGAATAAACCTATCCATTTTGAAGAAAATCAACCCTGAGTGCTCACTGAAAGAATGGATCCTGAAGCTGAGGCTCCAGTACTTTGGCCATCTGATGAGAAGAGAAGACACCCTGGAAAAGACCCTGATTTGGGGAAAGTGTGAAGGCAAGAGAAGGGGACGACAGAGGATGAGATGGTAAGACAGTCATCAAAGCTACCAACATGAATTTGACACAACTCCGGAAGGCAGTGGAAGACAGGAGGGCCTGGTGTGCTCTCGTCCATGGGGTCACAAAGAATCAGACACAACTTAATAACTAAACAACAACATTTGCCTAATTTGTATATTTTATGCAATCTCACAATCCAGCTGTTCTTGGAACGTATTCTGGACATCAATTATGATTTTTATTTTATCTTTAGTTGTGTCCTGCCTATGTTTTGCAGTGCTGAGAACACACAGCTGAGCTTGTAAGGTCATATGGTAAAAGCACTCTGTTAAATTACCAGGCATTTCAAACATTTAAAGAAGAAACAAAGAGCCTGCCTTTTATAATATGTGATTGATCAATATTGTAAATGGACTTTAAAACTGGATAGATGCATCAGTACCAATTGTGTACTTATATGCCAGGTGTCTGCACTTGCTCCTCTCAGAAAGAGGCAGAACAACATATCGGGGGGAGAGAGAACCCTGGCATTTTAAGGGATAGTTTATAACAGCAGTGGCTGGAAATTGAAAGAGATACCACAGCCTCTTTGGGTCCATCTGGGTATGTATCTGAAATGAGCTTTCTTTCCAAGCTGTTTTTCTAATGTATAAATAGTCATGTTGACAGCTTCTATGCTGATAGGAATAGCTATTCCAAGCATCATGTCTGTAAAATAAAAGGAAAAGAACTTGGGGGCACAAATTGCAGCCATCAGAATTGCCACTAAAGCAAACATACTTTCTTGTTTAAGATAAATCGTAAATCACTGTGTGAAAATGTAAGGGTTGTTTATCGGGCCGGAGGGAGAGGTACCAAATAGCACTGGTTGCTGAAATGAAAAATGATATAAAAGATACTCTGTTTGTTGAAATACATGTATTGTATATTCAACAAGCACAATCTTTTGACTTCGTTTCACATTTTGGCAAATGTTTCTGATGCAGCGATTGGGTGGGGAGTGATGCCACACATACTGCAGCAAAAGCTTGAATTAAGGAATTATTTCCAGGAGACAATGCGACAAATGGATACTTTGGTACGTACAAGATAGGCAGTGTGGATCATGTTAGGAGGAACCTTTCATTTCTGGATCCAAACAGATGCACTTACATAATGATGCGTCATTATATTGTTCTCATTATATTCAGCCTTCTTTTATTGATCATATGGGCAAATGGCTGGGAAGTTTGTCCCTAAAGGTTCTGAAAAATCATTCATAGGACTCCAGAAGAAGCTCTGCGTTCATGCCTCTGCTTTGTTTGTCTGATGCTCATTGGT